TGATTTTGGGGCTTTTGTTTCATCTAATATACATTAAGCATGTTATTTTTATAATTATTGTGAATTTTTAGCCTATTTATTATTAATAATAATTTTTTTAAATTTGTAATTATATTACTGGTCCAACCAGTGACCCATTGACCCGGTCTCTCTCCCGGGTGGATGTCTGGGCTGAGTTTTAAAACTATTCTGTCCGGATTCAAACCTCTTGTGTCTCATATTGATTTCTTTGTCTAACATAAAAGTCTATGGCACCGAAATTTAAACCTTTGGTATCAAATCTCTCTTTCTTATCAGTGTATTAGTTAATGCCCGAGTCTGAAGACACTGTGTAATTTTTAAAACAAATATCGCCAAAAAAAAAAAATCAAAATTCATTGCAATAAGTGTATACATCCATTAGAGCGTTGAATATTAGCATAGTTGAAATTCATCTAGACTCACCAGCTTAATTTAAAAATTACAATAAAATACCCACCAACTATAGGACCATAAAACTACAAAAAATATGTTGTGTATTGTCCCACACAATTGATAAGGATAAATATTTAATCCAAGATTAGGTGAAATTTAAAGATTAAATACAACAAAGCAACTATTTTTATCTATCTACTTTCAATTGTATTTCATCAGAGTCGAGGAAAGTCGAAGTTTTTTTTTTTTTTCGATAAATACTTTTCATTGCCATAAGAGAATAGATTCTTTAAATTGGTTATCGACAACCAATCAAAATTAAGGAGTTATACAAACTTATTGGGAATCCTCAATATTGATTTATGTGTTTATGTAGCTCCTCAATTTTGATTGACTGCATGTAAATAATTGTTTATAGGCTTGCCTATAAAGAATTTAATCCCTTGCTATTATTCCTTCAAATCAAGATTCAACTTGTTCGGTGCACATAATTAGAAAAATGATCAAATCACGAATGCCCAACATCAAGATGTTACATAACTTATAATCCCTTATCTTGAACATAGAAAAAGACAGATTTTATTGGGAAAAAAAAAAAAACTCAAATATCCCAACATGCAAGGATTATGTTCCATAAGCACATATCATGTAGCTTTAACTATATAGATAAAATTAAGTCATAGTAGTGTTATTTAAGGCGTAAAGTGAATCAAAGCGAACCGGTCTTCTGAAGCGAAGCGAGCGCTTCATTGAAGCAAAACGAACAAGATAAAAAATAAGCAAATATTTTAGTTTAATACTTTAATTACTCCAAAATATTCAAGTTTTAACTTTGCAAATATAAAATATTTAAATGCAATCAAAATAATAAACATCAACATATTTTAAATAGATAAGATATTAAATATTGAACATTATTGTATTCTAAAAATAATCAATTGATATAATCACGTTATTTAAATATAAAGTTAGCAAATGTGAGTTCGACTTCCACCGTGATTGATTAATATCACCATTAAACAAAACACTCACAAATTGATTAATCAAATAGAGTATATAGCAAATTGATTAATTAATTTGATTGAGCAAGCAAATTGATTAACAAAAGCATTCACATCAAAACAAGAGCATTCAATATTATCTAATTATAGTAAGACAGATTGCTATATGATACTTTTACACAAATCAATCAATTTATTTTATACATATACACATATAACATCATCTCTATTAGGGTTTGGTTAATGTTAAAGAAAAAGAAGGAAGAGGAGGAGGAAAAAATAAAAAAACTGTAGGTAGGCATTCGCTTTTCTCACCAGACTCGCTTCTTCGCTTCGTCGCCTATGCTCGTTTTTTCCTTGCTTTACTTAACCTCGCTTCGCCGTGGATGTTCAAGGCGACCAAGGCTCGCTTCTTGCCTAGGCTCGCTTTTCACAACACTGAGTCATAGCATAAAATATCTAATAAAATTTTTCACTTGAATTGAATAAACCAAAAACAACAGTCAATATATTGCATGATTTATGTACCTATTTCGGTTGGTACATTTACCACATTTGAGGTGCCATTGATATTTGCACTTGAAAAAGTAGATTATAAAATAATTAGTGACACAAAACAAATATTGAAAAATAGAAGGATTAATGAAAAGTTTAAAAATAAAATCTAGAGTAAGGAATTATCAAAGTAACTGGTTTATGCAGACTTCTCCATAATGCAGTAAGCAACTGCCTTGAGGGCAAATTGTTACATACATTGAAGGAATTTCTTAAACATATATATAAAAGCAAAGAAACATGATCAACACTGGTGGAATAAATAAATTAACCTTTGATTTAAGAGAAAAACAATCAATAATCAGTGAGCTCAATTATAGAGGGCGTAGAACGAAATTATCGATGCATTGCCTACCCAATAGAGTGAAATAAACATACAACCAATCTAAGAGAAAAATAAAGAATGATTACATCTAAAATATTAGTCAAAATTCTAACAAAAGGATCGTAAATTCGATTGTAGAAATGTCTAGATAACAAATATTTGGTTGGATAGCCTTTCTCATAGTACAAAATTAAATTCAATCTCCAACAAAGTTACGTTAAGTAAAATAACTAAACAATTAAGCAAAAAAATAAAACTCCATTTTCTTACTAAATTAGAGTCAACAACTTATTGCTTTGTGTATACATTGTACTACATTAATAATCAAACCACATCTACGAATTTAAATGCAATTGTAATTTTTCACTTTGTTATTGCGTCACACCCAAGCCAATTGTGCAATAACTCTAATAAAATTCATCTTACAACTCAAAAAAAAAACCTATGTTTACAAAAAAACCAATAACCCAAACACAGAAATTACATGTGATAGTAATAACCAAACGAATCAAACAAAAAGGGGGTAAAATAAATTATACATTACAACAAATGATAATCCAAAACTTTTTGTGCTTCTCGCTTCCATGTACAATGAATTGCATCCAAATCGACTCTAGAAATAAGGAATTGTTTTCAAATAATTCAAAGTTTTCAACTACTTATAGGAAAATAAAAAGTAATTAAGAAACAAAATCACCACATCACTGGGAATAAAGAAATTTTATCAATGACTATGCATACAAATCTAGAATAAAAATATATAGATAGCTTGATTTAAGCTTCTGAATATTTATGAACCCAAACCTTGACTTTACCAATAGCCATGGAAGGTCAGACGAAGTCATTGGCATGGTCTTCACGTCCTCTCATTGTTAATCCCTTCGCCAAAGTCCGGCTCTAATATTAAAAGACAGATCAATTATACAAACTCATACAAATGTGATTGGATGTGCTAGAAAAAATTGGAATATGACATGGTCATTTATTTAAAAAAAATAATAAAAAAGGAAAGAAAATTTCAGACTTCAAAGACAAATCTTTACAATAAATTAATTAATCATGTCAATTTGAGTTGCTTTCATTCGAGCAATATACAAACAATTTGTCTCCGCATGAAAATCACACAAATTCAATAATTCATGAAAAACATGAAGCAACAATCTTAATTAAATAGAACTCCAGAATTACATAATCTAAATAAACTCCTAACTTATGAGTACAAGATTTATCAATACAAATAAAAAAAATAGAAAATATGTTCAAAGGCATAGGGTGATGTGGCATGACACTAAACTTCTTAAGATCTAAAAAATTAATGAATTCAATCAACAAAACCCACAAAATAATAAAAATATGCATAAGCAAATAATTTTTTACTTCATTGGTGAAAAGTATGGTAAGCATAATAATCTCAATTCTCATAAATAGATCAAATTTATAAAACATTTAAAAATAATAAAACTTATAATAAATAATAAAGAGAACCACACAGAAATAATAACTAAAAAATCCACCGACATCAAACAACAAATCTACAAAGAGAGAGGAGTATTTCTAGTTGGCACTGTGAGCTGGTATGGTATGGGCTAGAGCAATGGAATTTTGGGGATGGCAAGAGGGTGAGACCAAGAGAGACTCTTTGTTATCACCTAGATCACCACTCATTCCTTATCTTGCTATTCTCAAGAGAAAACAGGAAACCATTGATTTTAGTAACAACAAAACAAACTAAAATAGAATTTTATCTAAAAGGTTTTATGTTGCTTCATTTTCTCAAGAAAGATTAAAAAAACTCATCTCAGTTTGGTCAAACACATGATTTAAGGTCACTTTCTGTAAAAATTTGTTTTCTGAAAAATTGTATTAACCAAAAACTTTAATTTGACAAATTGTGTACTTAGAAACATAGTAAATCAAAAAGGATATTTTAGAGAAAGTGAAGGTATATACCAATGGCAATGAATAATTCTTGCACAAAAATGTAAGACCCCACATAACGAAATATAAAGAATCACACCAGCACTCCATATATCAACCTTTGACTCATAGTTCCACTTCAAAAGCTTTGCTGCCGCATAGTAGGGTGTACCCAAATCCTTGAAAAAGCTAAGAAATCTGAATCAAAATTAGCAAACTCCTNAATTCTTGCACAAAAATGTAAGACCCCACATAACGAAATATAAAGAATCACACCAGCACTCCATATATCAACCTTTGACTCATAGTTCCACTTCAAAAGCTTTGCTGCCGCATAGTAGGGTGTATCCAAATCCTTGAAAAAGCTAAGAAATCTGAATCAAAATTAGCAAACTCCTATCACCAATCTCAAGTTTCATAAAGTAATTCAATCAACTACAAAAAAGAAAAAAAATCATCATCATCAAATTCAATTAACACCCGAATGAATACATGTCAAAAAATAATTTAATATATAAAATAATCCAAACCAAACAAAGTTATACAAACCAAACACAAAATACATACACAAAGTAATTTAAAATTTGTATGTAAGTGTGTGTGTGGTTCAGAAATGCTGCGATCTTGGAGTGGTTTGGGTGAGGATGATTTAGCGGTGTTTTTGGGGTTCAANCCCGAATGAATACATGTCAAAAAATAATTTAATATATAAAATAATCCAAACCAAACACAAAATACATACACAAAGTAATTTAAAATTTGTATGTAAGTGTGTGTGTGGTTCAGAAATGCTACGATCTTGGAGTGGTTTGGGTGAGGATGATTTAGCGGTGTTTTTGGGGTTCAGTGGTGGGTTTGGTTTAGGGGTTTCGGTGTGGGGGTGGTTGGAGGGTTATGGTAGGAGATGCAATGATCTTTGAGTGATTTTAGTGGGGCTGGTTTGGCAGTGGTTTAAGGGTTTTGATGGGGGTCGATGTGAGATGGTTAGGAGGTTGTGGTTGANAGGGTTATGGTAGGAGATGCAATGATCTTTGAGTGATTTTAGTGGGGCTGGTTTGGCGGTGGTTTAAGGGTTTTGATGGGGGTCGATGTGAGATGGTTAGGAGGTTGTGGTTGGTGTCATTGGTGGTTCTCTTAAAGCTCGCTAGTGGTTGTCATGGAGGTGGGTAAGGGATAAAAAGCATAGTGAGAGGAGGGGAGGAAGGAGTACCTTGGTGGTAGTTCTGGTGGTTATTGGGCGGCTGGTCTTTGATAGCTCCGGCTTGTAGAGAGAAGAGAAAAGAGAGGGGCAAGAAAGAATAGGGCAACACAGGAGTGAGAGAGGAAAAAGATACGGGAGAAGATTTCACAGATAGACTATGAGATCGGAAGAGATGTATTTTAAGTTAAGAGAGAGACTTCAGAGTCTTAGAATTAAAGGTCTATTATAATTGTTGGGCGGGAAAATAAAAGTTAATACTCATTGTAGACCGTTAGATCAAAATTTTGAGATGATCTGAACCATTTTTTATGTTGAGAGTACGTTGTCCGTTGGATGTGTTTATGTTTTATCTCAAAACTATCTGGACCTCTCTTTGTCTCCAAAATTTAAATTTAGTTCTACTTTATTATATAGATTATCAGGTCTTCAATAAAATATTTACAAACCACTTAAGTCAATTCTATTTTAATTTATCTCTTGTTGGTGCTACAATTTTACGAATAACTTTTGAGGGATAATTTTTAAAAATTGAAACCAGAAGGAATTGATTGTAATTTGATCATAAGTTGATAGGGCAACCTGTGATTAAACCAAAACGGAAATATATTTGGTTCTAAATTGGCAAATGCAGAGATCCTGTTTCTGTACATTATTTTAGTCACTTAAAAAATAGAAATTTGTTNGGTCAGACTCAAGTGGGTCTTTTGATATTTCTTGGGTCAACAATTGGGATGGCATTTGTGGAGGGTTTATTTGAGCATAGAGTGAAGACATTAAGTTATGGGNCTTTTGATATTTCTTGGGTCAACAATTGGGATGGCATTTGTGGAGGGTTTATTTGAGCATAGAGTGAAGACATTAAGTTATGGGGATGGGTCTTCGAGGTTATGGGAAGGGCCCCTTTTGGTGGTAATGTATTCATTTGTGGTGCTTATTGATTCCATGATGAGCGCAGTTTTCTACTTCAGTTGTAAGAATTATAGTATGGAAGCCTCAAAGGAAGAATCTCAACCAGTTTTAGAAGCTATGACAATGCCCCCTGGAACGCCAGACATTCAGTGACTTTATGTTGGTTGTTTTATGATTTGAAAAGCAATATTAGTTAATAACATAGGTGGGAACTGCTGAGGAAGGCTGGATTTATAGTTACCCTTGTGCTCTTCGGTTTTCAACAAGCAAAGGTGGTTTTTAACCATAACAGAGAATGGATAGACAGCAGCAGGACCTTTGTTTGATATATGATCATAAATTACTTCTTCAGTGACGTGCAAACATGAGAGCTGAAGGAAAGAATAAAGAAAGCTTGGTAATTGCAACTGTGATGAATTGTTGTATTCCTATTTCAGGAAATATTTTAGAAATTATGACTCCATACTCTGTACTATTTTTGTTGTTTACCGTTAATATGAATTATTATAGATTATTCCATTATTATTGTTTGATCTACTGCATGTTGCATGGTTATACTTGATGAGATTTGAATCCTGTACGATAGTAATATTATGATTGGGNTATAGATTATTCCATTATTATTGTTTGATCTACTGCATGTTGCATGGTTATACTTGATGAGATTTGAATCCTGTACGATAGTAATATTATGATAATCATCCAAAATTTTGCTTTACTCTTAAATGTTGTTTTCTTAGGAAATTTTACTGTAATGTGGAGTCATATTCTTCCAATGCATGCAAGTTGTGTGTACGCAACTTCTACAAAACCTGTATACAAGGCCACTGGCCACCTATGATAATGGGGATAATGGGAGTTCTCTGAGCCAACTCATTTAGTAGCTCATTTTGCAACTAAAATTGTTTCAATTGTTCTAGAACTCTTCAATTATAATTTGCTTCATTTATTATTTTGCAAGAGCATTTCATTAATGTGCTCTTAGATGCTAAATTGGTTGTTCAAGAGTACTTGCTTGAGTTCTTGGAGAAAGATGTTTAACCATTGTGATCTGCGCCAACTTGAAGCTTTCTGGATGAAATGTTAATATTTCAATTAATTTTGGTTAAACTTCTTATCTGCCAATAGGGTGTCATCTCTTGATTTTGCTTGCACAATAGCTTGTCAAACCACTTAAGATAAAAGAGGAGGCTTTTCTATTGAGTGTCTATTTCAACTTGTCTTGTGTTTTGTTCAGACTTTAGATAAGGCGTGGCTTGCTGCTTGACATTGAGACAAGTTTGTGGATTGATGATGGATTTAAAATAGACGCTGATTTGGTCATCTGTCTCATACTGGACTCGCTTTCTAGATTATCCCTCTAGAGAAAGGTGATTATAACAATCTTTCTTCTAATGCAGGTGCAGCGAGCTATTCATTAATGGATCTGATTTCATAACTAAAACAAGGTGTTTAGTGAATATGATAAGCATAAATTTTATACTGAAATTTCCATACAGAATGATGTGGCCCGTGGTTTCCTTTGTCAAGGCACTTACAGCAACAATAACGCGGACTTATCAGTCTATATGGAAATTCCTGTCAAGTTTTATGTTTGTGAAGCACTGGCAGGCAAATCCTGAATGGTGTTCCGGCCAGAGAGATCAATTACAACTGTACCAACACAGTGACCTTGTATTGAAGCGNCCTGTCAAGTTTTATGTTTGTGAAGCACTGGCAGGCAAATCCTGAATGGTGTTCCGGGCAGAGAGATCAATTACAACTGTACCAACACAGTGACCTTGTATTGTAGCACCTGTCGTGACAGAGATTTCTCGATTTTACTCGTCTGAGCCTTGTTAAAATGTCTGATTGGCAAGTATGGTTTTGATCAGATTCTCTTTTTCTTGCGCCTTCAAATTTAAGCTTTTTTGTAGGTGGAGTGGATGAGGAAAGCTGAATAAGTAATGCTCCTACATTTCACTGTCAATTGCCATTTCAACTCAAATATATGCGGTGAACATGTGAACTTCACATTATCAGCAGGACTATGCGTTGGATGATAGGTGATGGTGCTCGAAATTAATTGGACCGAGTTGCAGAATAGGCTTAGGTGAAGTTCAACGAGTGTGTGTATACGCGAGTGTGTATGCTATATGTATTATGCAAGAGGAAGACAAAATATGAATGGTTCACTTTAGTTGAAGTATTAAAGTTACATCCATTATAAGCAAAACTCCAACTTTTGGGAATTGTATTGTTTGGAGAAGAAGGTTTTTAGTACACGGTGTTTGACTTGAAGCCTTTACAAGACATTGTTTAGGTTTTACTTGGTGATTTACAGAATGACTCCTCTTTATACTGTAGCTCTGTTGACTATTTATACAACTGGTAGTTAGGGTTTCGTGTTTGTCTCTTTTTGTTTTTATCCTGGAGCTGTGGTCCTCAAAGTCTTTCTACATCCACTATTCGTCGGCTATAGTATTTGATCCGTCTGCACCACCTATGGACTTTTGTTCATTAAAACCATCAGGTTATGTTTCCTTATCTCCTAACCATGTGTTAAGTTATAGTTTTAGCAAATTGGTTCTATACCGAACTCCTAAGCTCTGAGCTTGTTATCAGGTCGACCTTGTTAATCCGAGTTTCTCTGCAACGAGTCTCTGGCCCAGTTCATACTCAGGAGGGTTTTTTTTTTTTTTTTTAATGTACATTTTAATATTAAATGCATGTCCGAATTTTTTCGTGTGTATTTTCATTTCTTTAATGATTGCTTCTTAATTTATTGCAATTTCACCAACAACAGGAGAAGGACAGGAAGAGGTTCTATCTTATGATGGGGCGTAGACAGAAATATCTGTGAGAGGAGACAACATATAATTGATACAAAAAAAATTCATTTAAAAAATGATAAAAAAATAAGAATCAAGAAAAAATTATTCTGAAATAGTAAATTTAATTTTTATTTAACTGAAACAAAATCTTAACAAAAGACACAAAATATTTTTTTTCATTACATTGTAACTTAATTTTATATGTCAATAAAATATAATTTTTTTAAAAATCTCTAAAATTTTATATATGAATTAAATATAAATTAATTTTTTACTAATTTTTTATCAATGTGCACAATCACAAGTATGTAGTAAAATTATTCTTTATTTAATTGTAAAATTTAAGTGAGATCATTATCGATTTTATTGAGAAATTATATATTCGAAATAACTTGAAATATTTCTGGGTTACAACTTTTTATTTTTTGTATATAATCATATTTTATTAGGTTATAGACTAGCATTATTAAAAAAATGGTAAATAAAAACTAAAAATTATTCTTAAAAAATAACGAACATTGTGTTAAATAAATGAAAATATTATATTTTCGTCAATATACAAATAAATTAAGATAGTTATATCTGATTGACTCAATTCAAGCTTAACATATTTATATTAGAGGATTAGTAGATCACAAATTTATTGAAAAAAAAAAAAAGACTAGAACCATTATTAAAGTTTTCAAAAATTTAGAGAATAAATATAATATATAAAATAATTTTATAAGTCTTCATCTAAGGTGTTGCATGATGGTAGAAGCTATGTTACAAGCAAAATGGGTTCGTCAGAGTCGTTGAGGAGTTATTTTATCCCAGTGTTTTTAAAACCCGGTCCGGACCGGTCCAGAGGGTCAACCCGGGAACCCTGAGAACCGGATCTAGAACCGGGCCGGTTCTTATAAAATATCGTTTCTGTACAAAAACCGGATAAAATCCATTAAACCGTCCGGTTATTGACTAAACCTTTCAAACCGGACGATTCTGAAAATATCGGCCGGATTAGTTTAAAAGGTATAAATTCTAGTGTTTTGGCTCTTTCAGGCATTTTTTGCCCCAAATTGATTTCTCAGCTACACCTCTCACTCCAGTCCTGTCCTCAGTCTCCTCTCTCTCTGCTTCTCCTTCTCTGTCTTCTTTGCACTGCGTCGAAGTCGAAGGCAAAGTTCGAACGACAAACCTTCGAAGTCGAGGTAGGAGGGATTCACTGGCCAGAGCTCCATCGCCGATTTCCATTTCCTAGGCATCGCTCAAGTGTGAAATAGCACACAGCAGAGCAGGTACATCCTCTCTGTCTGTCTGTCTCTCTCTCTGTAGTCTGAAGTATTCTGCGTTGTGAGTTTGTGGGGATGCTCCAGTTTAAGGATTTAATAGTTCACAGATAATGGCTGCATGCTCTAGATTGGTAGATCCTCAATTATTCTGTGTGATGGATTTTCATTTTTAGTTTGCTGCAAAGTTTTGCTTTGAAATGTATGCCATACGTTGATGTGGGTTCAATTCAATGCCTGTTTATATGTGTTTCTCATATTTTCCCATAATTAAGAATGATTTGTAACCCCTACTGAAAAGCTAAAAACAATAGAGAAGAAAGTGGATGGATTCATGTTTGATGATTTTGGGGCTTTTGTTTCATCTAATATACATTAAGCATGTTATTTTTATAATTATTGTGAATTTTTAGCCTATTTATTAT